TTTCTCCCCACTTTACGACCTTCCTGGCACACAGTCGTTAAGCGAGTGCAGTTGTTCAGTTAGCAACACGGTCCTTAAACGAATCTGACTTCCCCCATTGACTTTGCTTGTCAGAAGGTCGTGACCCTGGGACGCTGCGACCGTCGTAAATGTGAGTCATTTGCCAAGCGTCTGAGTTTGGATCGCATGACTGTAGAGATATTGCAGTGGTCATAAGGGTGAAAAACAGTTGTAAGTCACTTTTTTTCAGTGATGCTGTAAATTTGAACGGTCACTAAATGAACCGTTGTAAGTCGGGGAATACCGGGAACCGATTCCTGCTGCCGTTCTTCGTACGTCTTAGCCTCCAGTCCCCTAATCGTCTTTGTTGCTCTTCTCTGCACTCGTTCTGAAGCAGGGGTCTTCAAACATGGCAACTTTAAAACTGGTGGACTTCAACTCACAGAATTCCCCAGCCAGGCTGGCTGGGGAATTCTGGGAGTTGAAGTCCATCAGTCTTAAAGTTGCCATGTTTGAAGACAGACCCCTGTTCTAAAGAGTCTCAAGATCTTTTTTTTGTGTATTGTGGCAACTTTGTCCACCTCTATCTTTGGACCGATCTGGACTTAAGGGATGTATGTGCTTCTTCACATGTGTGTAAGGATCCAGGAGTAGCACAGAGACCATCCTGGTTTATAGGAAGTCCAACGTGGATCTCCCATCCTGCCTTTCCTTGGAAAATATGAAAACTCTTCTTTGTGCTGCCTCTCTCTCTCACACACACAGACATAGAATAGAATAGAATAGAATAGAATAGAATAGAATAGAATAGAATAGAATAGAATAGAATAGAAAATATGGAATGGAATAGAATGGAATGCAACGGAATAGAATAGAATAGAAAATATGGAATGGAATAAAACGGAACGGAATGGAACAGAACAATAGAATAGAATAGAATAGAATAGAATAGAATAATGAGATAGAATAGAATAGAATAGAATAGAATAGAATAGAATAGAATAGAATAGAATAGAAAACATGGAATGGAATAGAATGGAATGGAACGGAATAGAATAGAATAGAATAGAAAATATGGAATGGAATGAAACAGAACGGAACAGAACAATAGAAAATATGGAATGGAATGGAATGGAATGGAATGGAATAGAATAGAATAGAATAGAATAGAATTAGCAATAGGATATAGAATAAGTCAGGGCTTTTCAACCTTTTCATCCATTGTATCACTTTTAGGATATGGCAACATCCGAGTACCACCAGTCGCCTAGCCAGATGTCAAAAACTTGATGACCCCACCCCAAAAAAAGGCAAAAAGTGATAATGTACAGGTAGTCCTCCACTTACAACAGTTCGCTTAGTGACTGTTCGAAGTTACAATGGCACTGAAAAAAGTGCCCCCCAAGCCATAGCCGAGCAAGACACCTGCCTGCCCGCCTGGCCGCGCTCTTCCTCCTGTCCGAGGTTTTCATTGTTGTGAGCATTTCTGTTGAGGATTGGCAGCGGGGGTGGGGGGGTGGGGGGTGTTTGGTTTTTTTTCCACACCCACCCCCCCATCTGCTGGGTGGTTGCAGCAGGTTTTGGTCACTTCCCATGACCCTGGGACACTGTGAGCGTCATAAATAGGAATCAGTTGCCAAGCATCTGAATGTAAATCACAAGACCCTGGAGAGGCTGCAACATTCCAGCTGATCGACGCTTCTTCTGGGCTCAGCAGAAGCACCAGGATCAATGCCGAGCTCCAGCTGGAGCCTGGCGCTGATCCTGGCGCTTCAGCTAAGCCCTGACAGCCCTGCAGCTCCAGCTGTCTCTCGCTCAGGTTTGTGCAGTACTTCCACTGTTTCAGCTCATTCCGCTACCACTTTTCTAGGATGGTCGTGTACCACCTGCCAGGTGCCCATGTACCACAGGTGGTACCCGTACCACTGGTTGAAAAGCTTTGAAATAAGCAATAGGATATAGAATAGAATAGAGTAGAGTAGAGTAGCGTAGCATAGCATAGCATAGCATAGCATAGCATAGCATAGAATAGAATAGAATAGCATAACAGAGTTGGAAGGGACCTTGGAGGTCTTCTAGTCCAACCCCCTGCTCAGGCAGGAAACCCTAGACCATTTTGGACAAATGGCTGTCCAGTCTCTTCTTAAAAACTTCCAGTGTTGGAGCATTCACCGCTTCTGGAGGCAGGTAGTTCCACTGGTTAGTTGTTCTCACTGTCAGGAAGTTTCTCCTTAGTTCCAAGTTGCTTCTCTCCTTGCTCAGTTTCCATCCGTTGCTTCTTCTCCTGCCTTCAGGCGCTTTGGAGAATAGCTTGACTCCCTCTTCTTTGGGGCAGCCCCTGAGATACTGTAAAACTGCTATCCTGTCACCCCCTAATCCTTTTTTTCATTAAACTAGACATCTCCGATTCCGGCCACTGTTCTTTATACATTTTAGCCTCCAGTGAGGTTCTCCGCTGTTGGGCCAAGCCCCAAGATCTGGAGAAGATCAGAAGGTCCCTTAGCGAGCTGAATTTGGCCATATATGGCCAAATCTCCCATCTCCTGCCTCTTTGCTGCCTCCAGACCCAAGAAGTGCGTGGTTGGAAGGAAAGCAGTTCTCTTCCCCCGACAATCTTGGCTTGTCCAGTTTCTTCCTGCTGAGAATCTGCATTCCTGAAATTTCAGCTCCTTCGTTTTTGGAGAGTTTTGTGTTTTCCGAGCTCAGAGATGTTTTTGCTGTCTTGGGCCACCCACCCGTATCTCCTGGTGCATAGAGCAGAGTCTCTGAGCAGCCCTTGCCTCCTGACGTCGTGCTGCATGGGGAGGGGGGGATTGTCAGTCAAGCGGAAGAGCGCTGGAAGGGTCCTTGGAGGTCATCTAGTCCAACCCCCAGCTCAAGCATTAGGCCCTAGAAACATTTCAGACAAGGGGCTGTCTCTTCTGAAAAGCCTTCTTAGGAAGGAAGGAAGGAAGGAAGGAAGGAAGGAAAAGGAAAGAAGGAAAGAGAGAAAAAAGGACAGGAGGAAGGAAGGAAGAGGAGGGAAGGAAGGAAAGAAAGGAAAGGAAAGAAGGAAGGAAGAAGCAAGGAGGAAGGAAAGAAGGAAAGAGGGAGAAAAAAGGAAGGAGGGAGGGAGGGAGGGAGGGAGGGAGGAAGGAAGGAAGGAAGGACAGAGTTGGAAGGGACTTTGGAGGTCATCTAGTCCAACCCTGAGCCGAGGTGGCGCAGCAGTTCGAGTGCAATACTGCAGGCCACTTTAGCTGACGGTGTTCAGCAGGTCAGCGGTTCAAATCTCACTGGCTCCAGGTTGACTCAGCCTTCCATCCTTCCGGGGTAGGTAAAATGAGGACCCGGATTGTTGGGGGCAATGTAAATATCTATATATATATACATTGCTTACTGGTGTACACCGCTTAGAGAGTGCTTGCACTTAAAGCGGTATATAAGTCTCATAAAATAAATAAATAAATAAATAAATAAACCCCCTGCTTAGGCAGGAAACCTTATACCATTTCGGACAAATGGCTGTCTCTTCTTAAAAGCCTTCTTAGGAAGGAAGGAAGGAAGGAAGGAAGGAAGGAAGGAAGGAAGGAAGGAAGGAAGGAAGGAAGGAAGGAAGGAAGGAAGGAAGGAAGGAAGGAAAGAAGGGTCCTTGGAGGTCATCTAGTTCAACCCCCTGCTCAAGCAGGAGGCCCTGTACCATTTCAGACAAGTGGCTATCTCTTCTTAAAAGCCTTCTTAGGAAGAAAGGAAGGGAAGGGAAGGGAAGGGAAGGGAGGAAGGAAGGAAGGAAGGAAGGAAGGAAGGAAAAGGAAAGAAGGAAAGAGAGAAAAAAGGACAGAAGGAGGAAGGAAGGAAGAGGAGGGAAGGAAGGAAAGAAAGAAAGGAAAGGAAAGAAGGAAGGAGGGAGGGAGGAAGAAGGAAGGAGGAAGGAAAGAAGGAAAGAGGGAGAAAAAAGGAAGGAGGGAGGGAGGAAGGAAGGAAGGACAGAGTTAGAAGGGATCTTGGAGGTCATCTAGTCCAACCCCCTGCTTAGGCAGGAAACCCTATACCATTTCGGACAAATGGCTGTCTCTTCTTAAAAGCCTTCTTAGGAAGGAAGGAAGGAAGGAAGGAAGGAAGGAAGGAAGGAAGGAAGGAAGGAAGGAAGGAAGGAAGGAAGGAAGGAAGGAATAACAGTTGGAAGGGCCCTTGGAGGTCCTCCCAGGGTCATGTGATCCCCTTTGGTGACCTTCTCCAGCCAGATTCCCACGGGCAAAGTCAAGGCAGGAAGCTCGATTTGCCTAATGATTTTAGGATTCACTGCAGCGCTTCGCTTAACAACGGAGGCAAAAAAAAAAAAAGGTCCCCAAATGAGGCACAGCTCACTTAACAGCTGTCTGGCTTAGCCACAGAAAGTTTGTGCTCAGTTGTGGTCGTAAAACTGAAGAACATAGACTAACAGGGCCGGAAGGGACCATGGAGGTCATCTAGTCCAACCCCCTGCTCGTGCAGGAAACCCTGTACCAGACAAAGGGCTGTCCAGTCTCTTCTTAAAAACCTCCAGTGATGGAGCACTCACAACTTCTGGAGGCAACTTCTGTTCCGCTGATTAATCGATCAGGGATTGCAGAATAACAGAATAACAAACTGGAAGGGACCTCGGAGGTCATCTAGTCCAACCCCCTGCTCGAACAGGGGACCCTGTGCCATTCCAGACAAGCGACTGTCCAGTCTCTTCTTGGAAGCCTCCAAGGATGGAGCCCTCACGACCACCTATGATAGTGGTTCTCAACCTTTTTAATGCCGTGACCCTCAACCGGTCGTAAGTCGAGGACTACTCAACCGGTCGTAAGTCGAGGACTACTCAACTGGTGCAGCACCGTTTGCAGAATGGGACTTTTGGTGGGCTCAGCAGGGCAGAGACAGCCTGGACAATTCCTATTGGCTTTGAAAGCCAATAGAATTAGACTCTATTCAAGAGAGTCTCTTCTATTGGCTTTCGAAAGCCAATAGAATAAAAGGGAGGAGCACAGCTAAGGAAAAGGGGGAAAAAATGGCGGACTGCGTTGTTTGGCGACCCCCGTGAAATGGTCGTTCGACCCCAAATGAGGTCCCGACCCACAGGTGGAGAACCACTGGCCTATGAAAATGGACGCAAGCCCCCTTGGCGGAGCCAGTTGTTGACGTTGTGTCTTTGGCCAGTCTGTTGCCTCAACGCTTGACAGGGCGCAGAGTTCTTATTACAGATAGTCCCCGATTTACGACAGTTCATTTAGTGACCGTCCAAATTTACGATGGCACTGAAAGTAGCGACTTAGGATCCTTTTTCACACTTAACGACCCTTGCAGACCACGATCACGGGATCAAAATTCAGATGTTTGGCAACCGACTCATACTTACGACGGTCGCAGTGTCCCGGGGGTCATGTGTTCTCCTTTTGCAACCGTCCGACCGGCCAAGTCGACGGGGAAGAAGTCAGATTTGGTTAAGAACCGTGTCGCTAATTTAGCCACAGCAGCGATTCATTTAAGGACTGTAGCAAAGGAGGTCGTAAAGCGGGGCAAAACTAACTCACTTAACCAATGTCTCGCTTCGCAGCAGAAATTTTGGGCTCTGTTGTGGTCGTAAGCCGAGGACTAAATGTAAAGTACGGCGAGAGTTCGGGAAACGCCGATCCTTCACAGCTTCCTGCAATCTGACGTCCGTCGGTCACAAAGCGAGTCTCCCCTGTTGGAGAAGCTGATGGCCTCAGAGGTTTTTCTTTCAGATGATATAGGTAGTCCTCAACTTAATGACCATTCGTTTAATGACGGCTCGAAGTCACAACGGCATTGGAAAAAGCAAGTCAGGACTGTTTTTTTCGCACTTACGACCGTCGCAGCCTCCCAGTGCGTCACGTGATCATAATTCAGACGCTTGGCAACTGACATGTACTTATGACGGTGGCAGCGGGTCACGTGATAATCCCCTTCGGCGACCTTCTGACAAGCCAAGTCAAGGGGGAAAGCTGGACTCGCTTAACGACCGGGTAACTAACTTAACGACGGCTTATCAAACGTGGCAGGAAATGACGTAAAACGGGACAAAACTCCCGTTAGCCTCTGTCCCACTTAGCGACGGAAATTTCGGTTCTAGTCGTACATTGAGGACTAGGCGCTTGAACCGCTTAGAGATGGAAATTTCAGACTCGGTTCTAGTCGTACGTTGACTAGGCGCTTGAATTGAACCGCTTAGCAATGGAAATTTCAGACTCGGTTCTAGTCGTACGTGGAGGACTAGGCGCTTGAATTGAACGGCTTAGCAACGGAAATTTCGGACTCGGTTCTAGTCGTACGTGGAGGACTAGGCGCTTGAATTGAACGGCTTAGCGACGGAAATTTCAAACTCGGTTCTAGTCGTACGTGGAGGACTAGGCGCTTGAATTGAACCCTGCCCGGGGACCGGCTGACGCCAGCCATCCGTTTCCTTGTTTGCACAAAGGGCGGGCAGCCATTCTCCGGAGCGTTTGGGCAATGTGCTTGCCGGCCAAACCCTAACCGAGGTTGACTCTGAAACAAGGTTTGGATGGTGGGTGCAATCCTGGCGGCTTTCCCCGACCCTGGTTGTGCGAACCCAGCCAAATTGCAAGCGGGGGACGGGGGGGGGATCACGGTGGGTCTGTATCTGTCTGCAGACAGGGCTGTAGCCTATGCCAGCAGCGGCTGGGTGGTGGGTGGGCACGGGAGGGGGGCCTCGGCACCCCTTTAGAAGGAGGCTAGACTGGATCAAACCTGGCCAGGATGCTGGCTTGTCGTAACTTCCAAGTTAATCATTGACCTTCTCCAGACTGGGGAATTCCGCTCCGAGCCAGCCCTGCAGCCGGGCGATTTTTCTAACATGCTTTTCCAGTTATGATCTCCATATTTGGAAATGTTTATCCATGCCCCCATCTTTGGGGAGGGGAGGGGAGGTGACTCAAGCCTGGGGGAAGTTTGGAATTCCTGGCGTCGGGATAAGCCCCCCCCCCTCTTTTTATCCCCTTCTCTCTCTCTCTCTTTCTTTCTCTCTTTCTCTCTCTCTCTCTTTCTGCCTGTCCTTGTGGTCAGGCGGAGTTTTCGCTCGGTGGGCTGCAGCAAAATTGTCCATTTGTTCCGCTTTGGGGAACGCGGCGTTCCTAGGAAAACGGACAGACTGGGGGTAAGTACCGAGGGGTCTTTTGGGGGTAGCAAAGGGGCTGCCGGTGGTCCAGCGAGCCTCAGCAAGGCTTATGGTGGCCTTGCTGGGACCAGTGGCTGCAGACCCTTCCCGTATGGCAAGGGGCTCACCTGGATGAGCTGGTGTGTCTGTCCGGATTTGGGGTCGCATAAACAGGGATTGTCCCCCTCGGGTGACCCCTGTCCTGTCGGATTGTGGCTTGCTGGTCACCATGGTTAATCTTTACCTGGCCTGAACGGTGTAGGGAGAACTGGCTTGGCGGATGCTTTTTTATTTGGGTGAATCTTCTTGTGTTTTGGTTTATTTTGTTTTCCGTTCTTCTTTTGGGGTTTTTTTTTTTTTTTGGCTGACTGCTTCCTGGCAGTCTCGCTCTTTTATGCCAAGGGAAAGAGTCTCGCAGGCAGAAAGGAGGCTTGGAACAAACTGAGATTGTTCTGCATCCTGGTTGAAGGGTTAGCCAGCCATGTGGGGGATCCGTCCATTCTCTGGGGCTGGCACCCCCACGGAGGCATTCTGCAGCTTCTGATATAGGGGTAGATGGAGGGAGTTGTGTGTTTCGCGCAGTGGCTTTTCTGGTCTTGGTGTGTGAGTGTGTGTGTGTGTGTGTGTGTGTGTGTGTGTGTGTGTGTATGTGAAAGGGGAGGGTGATCGCCAGCAATAGGGGTAGCTTTTTGGGAAGACAGAAAGAAAAATTTGTCTGATTGTGGCTCTCGGGGCTAAATGGAGCCTCCTTTTCCAGGAGCACTCTATCCACAAATACTAGGTAGGAATTGGCCTAGGAGGCAATCTGTGAGGGATTTTGACAGAGATTCTCTGGATCTCTTGATGCTCAGCTCTGCAAATTCCTCATCAGCTGTCCTTCAGAGGAAGCAGGGCTTCACCGATTCGGATGTCAAGAGTTTGGTATCTTCTTTGGGTTTCAAAAGCTTTTCCTGTTGAACTTAGGCCCAGCTTTTGGGTTGTTTTTTTTTGGGGGGGAGGAACAATAATTGTTTTATTTTTTTTAATGAGGATATTTTTTATATATTTATTGTTTTTCTTAATTGGCGTACGACGGTCACTTTTTCTGAGATGGCCATCCATATAAATGAGATGGATGGATGGATGGATAAACAGATAGCTAGCCAGCCAGCTAGTTAGCTAACTAGATAGCTAGATAGCCAGAAAGACAGACCTAGATAGCTAGATAGCCAGAAAGACATAGATACCGTAGATAGATAGACAGATAGACAGACAGACCTAGATAGCTAGATAGCCAGAGACATAGATACCGTAGATAGATAGATAGATAGATAGATAGATAGATAGACAGATAGATAGGCAGATAGACAGACAGACATAGATAGCTAGATAGTCAGAAAGACATAGATAGATACTGTAGATCAGTGGTTCTCAACCTTTTTAATGCCGCGACCCCCAACCAGTCGTAAGTCGAGGACTACTCAACCGGTCGTAAGTCGAGGACTACTCAACTGGTGCAGCACCGTTTGCAGAATAGGATTTTTGGCAGGCTCATCAGGGCAGAGACAGCCTGGACAACTCCTATTGGCTTTGGAAAGCCAATAGAATTAGACTCTATTCAAGGGAGTCTATTCTATTGGCTTTCAAAAGCCAATAGAATAAAAGGGAGGAGCACAGCTAAGGAAAAGGGGGGGAAAAATGGTGAACTGCGTTGTTTGGGACCCCCGTGAAATGGTTGTTCGACCCCAAATGGGGTCCCGACCCACAGGTTGAGAACCACTGCTGTAGATAGATAGATAGATAGATAGATAGATAGATAGATAGATAGATAGATAGATAGATAGATAGATAGATAGATATAGAGAGATGATAGATAGATAGATAAATAGACAGACAGACAAACATAGATGAGAGAGAGAGACAGACAGACAGACAAACACAGATGAGAGAGACAGACAGATAGACAGACAGATACAGATGAGAGAGATAGAGACAGACAGACAGATATAGATAGCTAGATAGCCAGAAAGACAATAGATAGATACGGCGTAGATAGATAAATAGATAGACAGACAGATAGACCCACAGACAAATATCATAGATTAATAAATCAACCTATAGAGAGAAGATAGGTAGATTGATACAGAGAGAGAAATGGATAGATTGATAGAGATTAATTCCTAGGTGGCTAGCGAGCTTGATAAATAGATTGATAGATAAATAGATAAATTTATAGATAGATCAATAGATCGATTGATCTATAGATAGATAAAAAGATTGATAGATGAATAGATGCACTGATTGATCAATAGACGATAGAATCCATAGATATAGAGATTGACGGAGGTGATAAGTTAATAGATTGACAGATATATTTGCTAGCTAGATAAACAAACTGATGGATAAATAGTCCGATTAATCGATAGATAGACCGGTGATAGAGAGAGAGAGAGATACCTTCTCCATATTGGTCTGCCCCAGCCTGATCCTTCAGGTCTTCCAGCGGTGCTGCTGGCTCTCCTCTTTTCCTCTGGAGGATCAAGCTGGGCACAGAACATCTGGAGAAAGTCTCTCTGTCTGGATCCCAAGAGCCAACCCTGATTGAAAAACTCATCGTCAATCAACCCATCGGTCAAATTATCTGTCCGGGGTCCCCAACAAGATTGTAGGGCTGTTCTGCTTTTTTTTCTTCAAAGCCCTTTTTGTGGTCTGTAGAAACACTTAGCAGTTGCAGAGGAGCAGTGAAGACCCCCCCACTTCCCCGTTTCCTCCACCATGGTCCCGTTTTCCAGGAATGCCCCTTCCCACGTTCAGATTAACACCTCCCTTGTAAGGAGGGGAACTGAGTTAGTTAGGGAGAGAATCAAGATCAGGTGAAGTCTTAATAGCACTTTACACGGACTTGGAAGGCCACACTTGGAATACGGCATCCAGTTTTGCTCACCGCGATGTAAAAAAGATGTTGAGACTCTAGAAAGAGTGCAGAGAAGAGCAACAAAGATGATTAGGGGACTGGAGGTTAAAACATATTAGGAATGGTTGCTAGAAGTGGGTATGTCTAGTTTAACGAAGAGAAGGACGAGGGGGGGACAGGATAGCAGCCTTCCAGTACCTCAGGGGCTGCCCCAAAGAAGAGGGAGTCAAGCCATTCTCCAAAGTCCGTGAAGGCAGGACAAGAAGCAACGGGTGGAAACTCATCAAGGAGAGAAAAAAACCTGGAACTAAGGAGAAACTTCCTGACAGTTAGAACAATTAACCAGTGGAACAACCTGCCTCCAGAAGCGGTGAATGCTCCAACACTGGAGGCTTTTAAGAAGAGATTGGACAGCCATTTGTCTGAAATGATATAGGGCAGGGATAGGCAGAATTCTGGGAGTTGAAGTCCATGAGTCATAAAAGAGCCGAGGTTGCCTACGCCTGGTATAGGGTTTCCTGCCTGAGCAGGGGTTTGGACTAGATGACCTCCAAGGTCCCTTCCAACTTTTATTATTATGGATCATCGCACAGTCAGCCAGATGTTCAGAGTGGATTTGGCATTTTGTCTACCTATCGAGTCCTTACCCAGGACCTGGGATAGGCAGATGTGGATGTTTGATGGTATTACAGATATCGTCGCAGGATGGAAGCAGTTCCTAGTAAGGCCGCCTTTTGCAATTGACTAATAGCGAATTTGTCAATGCCAATGGTGTTCAAGTGGTGCTCCAGTTGTTTTGGGATTGCACCCAAGGAGCCTATTACTATTGGTACTACCCTTGCTTGCTTTTGCCACAGTCTTATTATTATTATGGATCATCGCACAGTCAGCCAGATGTTTGTTGTTGTTGTTGTTGTTGTTGTTGTTGTTATTATTATTATTATTATTATTATTATTATTATTATTATTGGATCATTGCACAGTCAGCCAGATGTTCAGACTGGATTTAGCATTTTGTCTACCTATCGAGTCCTTACCCAGGACCTGGGATAGGCAGATGTGGATGTTTGATGGTATTACAAGTATCGTTGCAGGATGGAAGCAGTTCCTAGTAAGGCCGCCTTTTGCAATTGACTACTTCCTCTTCTCCTTCTCCTTCTCCTTCTTCTTCTCCTTCTTCTTCTTCTTCTTATTATTAGTCTCTGGTAGCCACAATCCAAAGGGGTCTGGGTCCACCCTCTTACCGATCCCCTCCCCATTTTAATCACAAATTGAAAGCTTCTGCTTTTGTAGTTAATTGTTCATTAACTGAATCCTGGTTGGCTCATGGCTTGTCAGAAGCCGGCCTGGAAGATGGCAAAGGGGGATCATGCAAGCTGGGATGCTGCAACCATCGTAAATACAACCCCACCTGAATTTTGATCATGTTGTTCCCCACAGCAAAGAGACGAAGAAGAGATGATCCAACGGATTCTTTTATCCAAAGAAAGGAATATAT